CAAACAATAGATCCACCATTAATTAATCCTCAAGTTATCAAGCATACAATTAGATGAAGTTTATCCCCACCAAAACATAACATATAGCATGCGGTTTAGACAAACATTAAGCTAATCATTTATCAAGTTTATTAACTTAATAGAAATCTTTTTTTTTTTTTGACAAAAGATAATTATATATTGATACCAAGAAAGATAGTTACATCCTGGAAAACAGCCATGCCTGAAAATTAAAAGCACGACTCATGGTCGGGTACAAGGAGAGGGCTTTCCTAGCCACCAAGTGGGCTACCCTATTGTTACTCCGACCTATAAACCGAACACTAAACCCCGGGTTGCTGGCGAAAAGATTCAACACTTCCTCCAAAACAGCACCCATCCTGCGATCTCGAGTGTCCCCATGCTGGATTTTGTCAATGACCACTTTAGCATCTCCTTCAAACCTAACACAGTCGAACCCTTGCCCCAAACACCAAAGAATAGCCTCACGCAACGCCAAAAGCTCCACAATCGCAGGATCATCAAGGACTGGGAAATGAGCCCCACTAGCCCTGAGGATGTCTCCAGAGGTAGTCAGCAGAACCATTCCCCCAGCCGCATGTGACCCCCTACTTGTAGCCCCATCCCACCGACAAACCAACTCACCAGGTTCCACCAACCGAGTCCCAAGATCCTCCACTACCGGCTTGGAATGATGCTCCTCCAACGGGAGACGCGACCATTCCTAATTATTAATTGGAGACGCGACCATTCCTCAACTTAATAGAAATCATTAGATTAATGAAGAAGAAAAAACCTAAAAGAGAAATGTCAATATTCTAAATTAATAATTAGTTTAATAAGTATTTAAAAAATAATAATGTGAAACTTCAATCTCTCACTCTTTCTTTACCACATTCAAACCATGTCGGAACCTCCCATTTTGTACCTTTCTATTTTCTCACGTCATCCGACACATTCGCTTCTTTCCAAAATGTTTTTTGGTACCGTATTTCCACTTCCTTCATATACCATTTTCAGACAGGATAGATTTGGATAAGACGAACTTAATATCGTTAATCACGGGGAATAGATTCGATAACCGCTACAGTTAACGATATGATCCAATATCACAGTTGTCTATTAATGTTGTTTGGTCATATTATTGATGTTCATGATATCATTAATAAATTATTTCATAATTGAACATTTATGTTTATTATAATTATTGTTAACATCACACAAAATAGAATAGATACTAACTCATATAATTAAAACTAATATTTCACAATTAGCCCTATACTACCATGTCATATATATTGAAAATTTTCCGGTAAAAGCATTTTGTTAGTAGAATTTTTTTTTCAAAAGAATTTAAAATACAAAGTATTTGCCAAATATATTGGGATGGTCAAAACATTTTTCTATTATGGTTTAAATTTTTTAACTCTTTTCTTGTTAAAATACTAAATATTTTGCAATGTGGATGACCACATGTCTCTTCCTACTCAACATCATGTTGCCAAATCAGCATTACTAACAAAACTGTTTATAGGGCGTTATGTTTGGCTAATATTGCGTATTTGAAAAATTTCCTAGTAATTCAAAAGTTTTTAACGGTTTTGCTACTAAATTATATTTAACCAAAATTTTCAAATGCATTAAAAAAATCATTTGATCATTGAAAAGTCAACGTCATCAAATAAGTTGCCGCCTCCTGTATGTCTCTATTGCTTCCAAGTACGATGCTCGCAGAGAGGTGCTTGATTTTATGAATATGAAACATTTTGTTCCGAACATTTTGGTAAATTCTCAAGAAGGCGTTGATTATGGTTATAGGGAGTGCATGTAATTTGAGAAAGAATGATAATCGGGCTTGCAAAAGGAAAGTTTGATAATGCAGTTTGGTTCTTTATCTTATTCACCATAATAAAATAGAAAAATGAATAAAGATTGGAGAAGTTGTGGTGTGTCCTTATTTATTAGAGATGACTCATTATTCCAAGTACCAAGCTTTCCACGAAAGTTTAAATTAAATATAAAAGAATTGAACCAATAATCTCAGCAAGGTGGGGAGGAAAAGTCGGGCTCAACAGCCAATTCGTGGGAAGCCCGGGTCACGGAGTTAAAAGTTTCTTTCTCTTGGGCTGGAATCCAAAACGCAGAGTTTCATTAATTGTGCATTAAGCTTAAATGACGTTATTGCCCTACCGCAAATCACTCCCAAGCTCGGAATTTCAAAATGGAGAAAAACTGGGTGATGAATCCCCATTATATATTGTTTAGATCGTTCGATTTATATATAAGCATGTATGAACTTTCACGGGCTCTCGAATACATATTTCTTTTGGTTTTCATTATTAACTTTGTTAACATAACATAACTATGCCATCCGTGTTGTCTTTGGTTGTAGGGTCAACAAAATTTAACTTGCATAATACATAAATAATAATGAATTTAGACAATTATTTACAAAAAAAAAATATTTTGTTTTTATTTTTTACACGCATACCAATAATTTGTTATGGCTACTACCATTATTATGACGTTTATTCAATAAAAAGGAAGGAACTGGGAATAAAAATGAGTGAATGGGTACATGTTGGTTTTTTGGTTATCCAAAACCAAAACCAATAAGGGCCTTAATGGTTTTGGTTTTTGGGGATTTGGTTTTTGGTTTTCTATACTTAATTGTTTGGTTAACCAAACCAAACCAAATTGACAGCCCAATAGATTCTCGATAATAAACCTTTTAAATATAGTTATCCGTTCTCGTGATACTGGAATTGAAAGTATATCTTACAGACCGTTTGGTAACAAATGAATCGAGAATTCATTTCATTGTAAAATGAATTACCTTGTAGAATTCATTGTCAAATGAAATCTTGTGTTTGATATGTCATATTCAAATCTTTAGAAATAAAATGAATTGCAGTGTAGAATTCATTGTCAAATAAAATTTTGTGTTTGGTATGTCATATGTATTATAAGAAATTTAGTTAGTAAAAGAAGATAATTATGTCATTCTATTATAATTAGTAAATACTTGTGGAATTCATTTGGAAATTCCATATCAATTCCTCGGAATTGCTATAACTAGTTCCAATTCCATAGAATTGAAATTGAATTCTTTTAAATACCAAACACAAAAATGTTTCATTTCCAAATGAATTCCTCAAAACTATGGAATTCATTTATACCAAACGGTATGTTAGAAGAAAATTGCAGTTAAAGCCATTTCGTACTCAAAAGTTATACACATAATTGATTAAAATTTGATGAAATTTTAATCCCAACTGTTCACTTCTTATTACATCCATTCAAAGCTAGTGAGATAACTACCCTAATCATGTCTATCCGCTGAAAAATATTTCATTTTCAAATGAATTCCTCAAAACTTATGAAATTCATTTATACCAAACGGTATGTTAGAAGAAAATTGCAGTTAAAGCCATTTCGTACTCAAAAGTTATACACATAATTGATTAAAATTTAATGAAATTTTAATCCCAACTGTTCACTTCTTATTACATCCATTCAAAGCTAGCGAGATAACTACCCTAATCATGTCTACCCGCTGAAAATACTTCATAATCCATCACCTTTTGGCGGCAAAATTCCAACTTCCCATGGAACAGACCAAGAACCAATCTCTGATTTATGAAAAACTCATTCCACCTCTGAAACTGAGTTCCATTCCACTACATTTAAACCCAAGAAAATAAGACAAAAAATCCCGAACTTTAAAATAGTCCTAGAAAAGCAAAACACCCCACATACATAACGAACTCTATAACGAAAACAAAATCTAGATATCGCTCATTCCTCCCAAATCTTAGAAACCCTAAACCTAGATTGGCTTGGTTTTCAATTGGTTTCCCTTTTTCAATGCCCCATAACGCCAACCTCCGTATCATAACCAGCGTCGCCCATGAAAGCGTTGGTGGTTGCTTTGGGTGACGGCGGCTGAACCACCATTTTGTTGACGATCTTGTACGTGTCGTCGAAATCGTCGTCCAGATCCACCAGCCCATTCTCATTGGCTTTGCATTGCTCCCCGGACTCCCCTCCATGTGGGCAGTCAGTTGATTCAGTGACTCTAATCAAAGAAGAGCAGAGCAAAATCGAGAGAATCAAGCAAGCCATATGAATCCCCGTCTTCCCTCTTGAAACCGGCATTTTTTATGACTGACTGTTCGATTACGATCTGGGTTCTTTGAAGTTCGATTGATTTAATAAAGGGAAGGTATAAAGTTTTGTTCTTTTTGGTTTGGTGAGTATTACAGAGGCAGAGTACTCTGTTTTTCTCTGCTTCTTTTCACTGAAGTATCGACTGTCAGTTTTGTAGAAGTTGAGATTTAAATGGGTCTGGAGCTATTGGGGGATTTTCTATTTCTGGTGGTTGTGAATTTTTTTTTGTGAGGGTTTGAGCTAGTCTATAGGAATAGGAAACACATGACAATTGCCCTATGAATGAGGAGAGGAGCTTGACTCAGTTGAGTTAGTTCGAAAAACAGAGGAGAGGATTTAGGCAATTGAGGTTGTGGGGATTTCTTGGAGCTCTAAGTTTTCCTGGATTTTCTCAATTGGTCTGCCCGAATTGATAGTTCTAGCATTGTGGGATTGAACTTTCCCCAGTTGACACTTAGATTCCGGTCTTTCTCGCATGGCTCTTAGTTCAAATCTGACAGATGCAGTGCTAGATATCAATCTGGTAACTCTGGTTAGTCTGACTTTTCCGGTACATCAACCTAGTAGCTGGAATATCTAACCCAACAACATTAAGAAATGGATGATATTCCAGTGAATTTAGGGACCAACGCAACAAATGTTAAGCGACCCATCAGTATTAAGTATTAACCGACTCTAGGAACTAGGAAGCCCTTAGGGCGAGTGAATGGGTACTAATACTATTGTATTATGTTTACGTTATTGTGCCTGCCTCTTAAAATCCTAACGGATTTGTAGCTGTGAGATCGGAGTTATAATGCAGGTGGTTCATCTGAAGACGCAACCAGACATTTCATATTCTCAAACCATACCATTGCATAATTCTAATCAGTTAACCCATCAAGTACACTACAGAATTTGCCCATCCATCAAGTGGCTATTTAAAACCATGGAACATTACCAAATTGTGAGAAAATGGCACATATATTTTAATCACCAACACAAACTGAGCCCTGCTACATAATTAAGTGAAAGTGATTGATCTGAAGAGCAGATATCATTTCCCATGGCTTAGGATGGTGGATGCAGCGACCAAGCTTGGGGTACAATGTGGGAAGTTCATTTCACCATCCCCTCCGCCCAAGGGTTTTGCTACTCTTTCAGAAGGAAACAGAAGCCTGAGTACCTTCTCAGCAACGACAATCTGTTCCTGCCGACGTTCCTTACTTTCCATGAGCTCCCTGTAATGGAGAGTACTATGAATTCAGACAAAGGACAGCTAGATCGTTGAAGCTGAGCAGACGATTCAGCTTGAGAAATTATGCTTACCCAAGTAACCCAGCTAGATTGGTTGGTGTGCATGATTGGAATAGAGATTCAGGGATGACAGGAGCATCCATGAGTATATTAGGCAGTGAGATGTATGGTATCTTCGCCTTGTACCGAATGAACCATTCGGTGAGGATATGGGCTCTATATGCAACTGCACATGGTAGGCGTGCGAGCTGCAACTCCACTGCCACTGTTCCAGAAGTGCACAATGCTACTTTGCTGGCCTGCAGTGGATGATCAAATCCTTATTACTTGAAGGAAACAAACACTCTATGATTCAGAATTTAGCAGCAAGAGAATGAAAGAAGAGCTCACTCACACTGAATGCATCATATTTGAGAATGGGATCTCCTCCTGGAACCAAAACAACAGGTGCAGGCCACTCGTGAAGGATTCTACCAACGAAATCTTCAACGTCCTGATTAGGTGCCACATGAATGACTGTGAGTAAGTCAGGAAGCGAATGTTTGAGTTTGTTGACAGCCACCCTAAAAATGGGAAGCATCCGAGTAACTTCTTGTAATCGGCTTCCAGGAAGCAAGGAAATGACATCCGCACCTTCACAAATGATAGAAATTTGCATGAAGTAATAATCAGAGGTCCACTCTCAAAACATGCCCTATGCATTCCGCCACGAGAACTCTTACCAGACGATACACCAAATCTGCTCCGAAAATGGTCAGGGTTGCCCTGTATCTTCCATTCACATAGGGAGGACTGCTTTCCCTGAAGGCACAACGTCAATGAAATATAAAAAACTGCAGTACGAGAATATACAATCCAATCTTGGCATCTCCCAACAACTCCAACTTGAGTTGTTGGGACAAATTGGTTTTGGACATCTATTATAATCATTTAAGCACCTTGCATGCTTAGAAAGTGCCTCCCTTCAGTTCGGACAATGATCATACTATTGAAACTCAATTTTAAGCGCATAATGGGAAATCCGAAGCCAAAATCTGTACCGAGTTCAGCTCCAGTAGATCTTCAAGAACTGGGTGTCCTACAAAAGTTGCAGGCAGTCCATTGTGCTGACAAACTGCTGCTTCATTTGGAAGTATACAGAACACATGATCCACAAATTCAATCAGGCCCTTCAATCTCGCTTCGCCCCCTTTCCAAGCCCAGAATGATGGCGCAACATAATGGAAGTGCACCGGACTTCCTTCCCCGGCATTTCTAGCTGCAAAAAGCATTTCCACACACCATTTTCCCTACAGTATATAATTTATCTATCACGTAACCATATCATAAGTTTCCAGCAGACAAGAGTGTAGGTTGGGCTTAGTAGCATCCATTACCCCTTAGCTGCTTAAGAAACCGAAAAGAGAACCCCTTGGAATCCACAGTAACTACACAGTGAGGCCTAAACTGAACAGCAGCATCAACTGTTTCTTTCAACCTCACCTGAAAAACCAAGAGCCTCTAGTTTAGCAAAAATTACTAGTTCAAACTAAGAAGAATGACACCAGAATCTTATTACTAACCCTAAACTTATTCAAATGTGGTAGCAATTCCCACAGCCCCATCACTGAGATGTCTTCCATCGGGAATAGAGGTTCCAAACCCTCTTTGCACATCATGGACCTTATAAATGGAATACATACTACTTTAGAATAAGTATCCAACATTGGAATCCAGACAAAATTCACATCCAGAGCCAAAGCTTTGATTTCGGCTTACCCGCCGACGCCGGAGAAACGGATGGGTAAAGGTGAGAGCTTTTTCAGGGAAGCCATGAGGCGAGAACCGATGGCGTCCCCCGAGACTTCTCCGGAGACGATGAAAACATTCAATTTTCCATCTTTGGCGGCAGCATCGAGCACGGAAGAGCTGGAAATAGAGAAACACCTTCCGGGCAGCCATGAAAGACCTGCGACGGCTTTATTTCCCGATGTTTGGAAGCTCCTCAGCAGCATTTCAGGGAAATTTAGGTTGCTGAGTCTAAGAAAGAATCAGATAGGAAACAAACCCAAATGGAGGGAGTACCAAATTGCATTGAAGATTTACAGAAAGATTCCGACTTTGGACGAAAGCGGACATGGAACGCCTGGAGGCTGGAAGCATGTTGAAACTGAACCCTGAAACAGTTTCTAATTGGGAGAGGAGGGAATGAGCGATAGACTGGGAGGGAGACCGTAACCAGTCTATATGGGCTGACCCGTAAAGTGGGCTAATGGATGATATGGGCTTGTGGAACGTTGCCCAAGGCCCGTATTGTTATTTTTGCCTTCTCAGCATAGTTGTCATGCTGGTGGCATGACGGCCGGTTGAACCTGGATGATATGGGCTTGTGGAACGTTGCCCAAGGCCCGTATTGTTATTTTTGCCTTCTCAGCATAGTTGTCATGCTAGTGGCATGACGGCCGGTTGAACCAGGTTCAACCGGTACTGGTCATGAAACTGACTGGAATGCTACTGGTATGATAGGCAAGTCAAAACCGATCGATTCCGGTCAAAATCGGGAATTTCGAGTGGTTCAACCGGCTAGCCTAATTCCGGACTCTAATGCAGCGACATCGTTTTCGTGCTGTTTTAATTATAAAAAAAATTGGGTGGCAAAAGACCTCTCATTCAGCTCAATGCGCCTTTTCTCTTCTGTTTTCTACCTTTCTAAGAACCCTAAATCTGAATCTGCATCCCAACAAGCTCGACCAGGCAAGGCGACGACGAGGCACGGCGGGAGATTCCGGCAGCTGCGACGATTTATTTCTGGCAGGCCGATGAGAATCTGCACCGTGGCGATTCCTTTCTCGGACAGGTTGGTGACACTCTGGACCGCGGCTAATGGGGAAGATGGCGTCGAGGCAGTGGGCAGATCTCCACGGCGTCGATGCTAAAGAGGCGGAGGAGACCACGACGGCGAGGTGAGTCATGAGGCGGAGGGAGAAGATCAGTTGTGGTCTTCGACGAGATCATGAAGGCAAAGTGGAATTGGGGGTTTTAAGAGGTTGATGTGGTCGAGGATAGGGAGCGGCGATTGTGAGCTTGGAGGAAATTTTTGCTGGAGGCGGCTGCTGTTTATGGATTTTGGTGGGTTAAGTAGAGGAAGAAGAGATGGAAGGGTTAGATATTTGAGATGGTTTTGGGCTTTTGGCCATTCACGTTTGGACTTTCAAGAATTCAGAATTTCATATGGATGTTTAAAATTTTCTCGTATAATTTAAATATTATATCAAAACTGGCACAAACCGGTATGTATACCGGTTGTACCACGGTCGGACCATTTTAGTTGTGAAACCGGCGCACCGGCATAAACCGGTTTGACAACCTTGCTTCTCAGTGACGTGCGGTTATAAATTGCCTACGGTCTATATCATTACAACTAGCTTGTTGTCTGGCGTGTCATTGAATTATGATGTGTATTTAAAAAATTTAAATTAATTGAAATACTGAATTTCGTATCACATTTAGGTGACATCAAAATTATTTTTCCATTTTCGAAATTCTTATTACTTTTCATCAATGATGAACATTGTAAGCTTAATTGTTATACCAAAGTTGTCAAACCGATTCAAGTTGTTGAGCCGGTCAAGCAAGTAGTTTGAAGTTTAATGGTTTGATTGAGGTCCAACCTGATTGAGCCGTTTTACACCTTTTCTAAATATATTTACATATAAGATAGAAATTTAGTGACTGAAATGGAATGTAATAACTTAAATCTATTAAAAACTCAAATTCCATAAGAAAATATACTTATTTCAAGATCCACCCACCATCCTCTTGCCTCTCTCCCCATTCCCTTTCTCTTCTTCTCCATCTCTAACAATCAGACATTTGGTTTTGTTGAGCCGGTTTTGGAACACGATTTTGGTCGGACCTAGTCCAACCAGCCGTCCGGTAGAGGTGTAACAACCTTGGTTATAATACTCGTGAATAATCATTCATAACTTGTCAATTTAATGATGTAGTCACTCTGAAAAGAAAATTGACATAACAAAAAAAGAGTTTGTCTAAAAAAGCGTAGCATAAATAAGAAACTCGTGATCATAACCTTTATTCAGTATTCGGTGAAGCTCAAAATAAAACGTCGAATCCGATATTTCCTAGGCTTGAGAAACAATACATACTCCAATAATATATGGTAGAGTTTTGTGTACTTTTTTCCATTTCAAATTTTCTGCAATGAGAGTGAAAGTAGGAAAGACATTTTAGTCTTTACAATTTTTAATTAATTCATATATTCATATATAAAAAACATCAATACCAAGATTGGAACCAGGGTCCCTTTAAACAAAGACAACAAACGTAATCAATTACACTAAACAAATTTGTTGTAACTTTAATTTTTAAATACAAACTATTGACGAAGTTAAACTCTGAAAACCGGAGGACTTTTCCATCATGATTAGCTAACCCACTAAGTCTGCTGTAAGTATATTTATAGTGCTTGATACATCGATTTTCATAGTAGAGTTTCATCTAACTTTCTCCATTTTAAAATTTTCTACTCTCTTCTTAGTTTTCGCTAAGGTAACATGGAAGAAGTTATTTATTTTACTATGTGTTGTGTCCTTGCATGTTTTTAAATTAAAATATTTTTTGCACTTTTTATTTTTGTTCATATCCCTTTCTAAGCTCCTATAAAATTTCCTCCATAGTGCAATAGTTTGCTCCCTTCCACTTCCCCACTACAATGCCGCCTATGAAAATCAATCTTCTGGTATCTCTTAGAGCTACAGTTTGATTGTTGGAGATTGAAGTTGGGTAAGTAGGAGATTTCAACTCCGATATAAGTCCATGGTGAATAGAATGGAGTCCAATCAAGTAGTTAGGGTCTGGCCTATTTAGCTCAATTCCTCCGCACTAGCATCTCGCTATGGTTCCATCTTTCCTATATCGATGAACTACTAGAAGAACTATTTTGCTGCTTCTATTGCTGAAAACGATGTTTAATCAATTATATCTTCCTCCATTACTCCTCTTCCTATACCAAACTATAAACTTGAATGGGTTTTTGGTCTTCGTCCAAGGTTAATCGCTTCACATATGTAAGTCATTCTTTTCTTCTCTTTGTCTCATGGTTTTATCTTTCTTAGTAATCACAAAACAACTTTTATTTTCAGGGTGTCTCATGAGCAGAAAATGCAAATTATCTATTTCTTTTGATCATATTGCCTATTACGAGTTTGAAGCCCGATGGATCTCTTGCGTCGTTGCTCCTCTTTCTATTCTTAGGTTTCAACTTCAATGAGTTTTCTATTTCATAGAAGGTTCATTGAGTTGAACTGGTAGGCTATTATTTCTTTCCAAATTTATCTAAGTTGCTTGTGATTGATTTATAAAATATAGGAAAGGAATTTGAACGGTGGTTTGGGTGCTAGATTTGTTTCAAATCAAATAGATTTGTGTGTAGAATAGAGGCAATTGTGCTTTCCTAGCGCCCTATCTACTTTCTTGATTGTTTGTTTGCTGTATTTTTTTTGGTTCTTTGCTTAGCTATTGAAATAATAAAATAAGTTTACCATTTAAAACAAATTCTTTCCAATTACAACATTTATGCTCAGGTTTTATTTTGTCATGCTCATGTTCTCTGCAACCATATTTTTCATCAATGTCGATTATTATGGTCCAGCTCACCGATAAATTTTGATATTGTTTTATGATTAGTTAGACACTGTTGATTTTATCGATGCTTTTAGTGTCCATAAATATAATTGCAAGTCATAATGATTGCTAAAATTAAGCCTCCATGGAACAGTACTCTGAGAGGTGGAGGTGTTGAACTTGGAGTAGAAGAGTTGGGATTAGGTTTGGGAAGGGAAGGGAAGTGGTGGGGGAAGAAATTATGTTTGAATTTGGTAGCAAGTAAAGTTCAACTACATCAAGTGAAGGCAGAGAAGAGGGAGTTGAGGGTAGTGATCGAATTGAGGAGGGTATTGAAAGGCATGGAAGAAAAACTGGAGTAGTTGAAGAGGGAGAAGTGAGAGATGATTAGGATATTAATGAAAATAGAGAGGGTATGGAAGGGCATGGAAGTGAACTCGAGCAGGTGAAGGCAATCAAGGAGGAGATGAGCATATTAACGGAATTGGAGATGAGGCTTGGTTTTATCGAGCTGATTACAAGTGCCCCTAAGGAGGATGAGTTGGTCAAATATAAGAAGAGGAATGAGGAGTTGAAGAGAGAGTTGACAAGAACCCCAATTTGAAGAGAAATTGAGGGCCACAGAGAGAACTCCATCAAAGTAGCAAAATAAGAGTTGTATGAGGAGGAACAGAAAGTGAATTATTTTGGGTTGAAACAGATGCCTCTTGAGATGGAAGATGGAGGGAATAAAAAATTGGTTGTACAATAGAGAGTGGTGGCTATTGAACCTTTAGGTTTATCGTTATTGCATCTATCACAACCTATGTCTATCTTAAAATGAGGAATCATTGATTGATTTACTGGAATTAAGGTCGATTCTCTATTCAATCTACTTGAACTGGTAGATACGGAGTGTCTAATTTTGTGACTTATTACTTTAATCGAGTCTATTAGTATGTTGGAGCTAACCATAATTCTGTCATTTGCTCTCAAGTTTTGATGGTCCCGTTTTAGTTGAGTTGTTACTATTTGGTTGACTTGAACCAATAACTCTCTATTTCTTTTTTATTAGTGACATGTTGTTTCTAAAAGGAGAGCATTGAAATCTTTATGTAGGATTGTAGATTTTAGTTTTAGTTTTCAATTATCTATAGGTCGTGTGGGAATTCCAATAAGCTTTTATACTCTATCTTTTCTGACAATCAATTAACCAATAGCATTTTAACGGGGCCTAATTATCATTATGAAATCGGATAAAGGATATATTTTTATATTGTATATTCTTAAATGATGATGGTATTTCTTCAAATGTTCGACCTATACATTTATTTTTATGTATCAGCTCGATCGAAACATTATAAAAAAATGGATTGATAAAGTTAAACATAACATAAAAATATAAATACTCAAATACGAACATTCCGGCCAACGAGCCGGGTTATAAGCTAGTATATAATAGTATCTAAACCCTTAAAGTATTCTGCACAATACAATAACAAAATTAGTAAGAAAATAACCTTTTGCGTCCATACTCTATGCAATGAAAAAATTATTTATCAACAAACATACTCTAAATTTAGTTGAAGTACAATCTTATTCGCTCAACAAAAAAATTAAACATATCTTGTGGTACCTACATTGCTATTGCACATGATGACATCAATGCATCCATGAAAACTCCAGCTCAACTTTCATAATTTGTCTTGTATTGCGGTTATTTTATATTAAACTAATTAACTATAAATGATACATATGGTCAATTATCATATAAGATAAAATATTAAATAATTGAAATCATCTAGAAAAATTGGTATTCAGAAACTGTATTCTTTTAAACTCACTCATTTGTCCAATCATGCCATATTATCAAGAGAGTGAGGATTTAACAGTAAACCAAACTAAAATTTTCAAAAAGCTGGTCACTTACATTTTGCATAACAATATTATTGCTTTATAGTTCTAAAAATTAATACCAAGTTAAGAATTCTACATCGCATCTACACATTCAATACTGCAATTCAATATGTAATATTCGAATCAATGATATTTGGGTTTCAATTTTAAAATTATCCTCTATTTATAAGATAAACATAAATTAAATTTATTATTAAACTCAAATTAAAATAATCAAAATATGAAAATTCAAATACCAAATAAAAAAGAAAGTACTTACGGGAAAGTTAGTGGTCTAGCTAACAGTAGTGAAAAGTTGTATGATTTTTAGATTTCAGGTGTTCAGATTTTTTACTTAAATAGATACAAATAATTTATTTAGCATTATTGGTAATGGTTGTTGTCTTAATTTGGAAAGACCATGTTCGAATCCCGAGATTGATGTAATGCTGAAAAACTACCCAAATCGACTTTAATATATTTGTAGATTTT